AGTTTGTTGTCTCAGTGGCATGTTTACTGGATGACTTGAAGGCAGAAATACAAAATAAAAAGCAGCCATGAGGTTGTTCTCTGATATCTGTTTCTCCTGCACTACCCTGCCTTTTCAAAGCTCTGCTCCAGTCTTGTCTTCCATGATTCAGGCTTGCTCGTTGTTTCCTAGCATTCCAGAAACTTATTTCTCTTTCTTCTATTTTAGTTCCTAAATTTGTTATTTTAAACCTAGAAATATTTCATTACTCTACGATTATTTGCTTGTTCTTGTTTATTCTTAGCTGAAAATTTTGAAGAAAATATTCCTATGTAGTAGCATTACACTGGTTCAATTCAGTTCCATTGCTCAGTCATGTCTGACTCTTTGCNCAATAAAATATCTATTAGGACCAGTAAAACTAGAACTCCTCTCTGCCACACCTACTTTTTATCTTGGAAAATGAATTAGTACTTGGTTTTAAGAGCTTATAGCTGCATCCCAGGAGAAAAAGTTTTTTGATAAGAAAACAAATCAAGATATTGCTCTATTATAATTAATATTATTTCCATAAAGCACCCTCAAATTTTCTTTTATTAACTATTGAAAGGATACCATCCCAAATAACTTTATTTGATATTTTTGCTATTATTTTTTAAAGTCAACCTTTTAAATTCTGTTATCTACATGATAAATAATTTATAGACATTAAGATGAACAAATCTTAAATGTATAGTTTGAAAATTTTGTTTTCCTTGTGCAGGCATCTATGAAACTACCACACTTGTCAAATTTCTCAATATTTTTCTCACACCAAAAAATTCCCTTCAACTGCTTTGCAATAAACATTCACCAGCAGAGATAAGGACCATTCTCATTGCTCTCATGTAATATGTCTTGTCAATTGTTGAATTTCTTTTAAATAAAATCTTACACTGTGTATGCTTTTGAGTATCTTCTCCCTAAAATAACAGTCTTTTAGTGATGTATCCAGACTTTAATGTATAAGTTTAAATTTTTAAACTTTATTACAAAGGTTTATTCCACTATGTGAATGTACTATGAATGTAACCTCATCTTGGTATCCATTTCTCAGAAGACCTAAATTAACATAATTGGTACTGGGAGTGGTCTGAGAAACAGATGAAAATGGGGACTTGTAGCTGACTCAATTGGCCTCGTGGCCAATAAGATTTCACTGCAAATGGTAGGGTTCCCAGGCGACTCAGTGATAAAGAATCCACCTGCCAATGCAGGAGACACAGGTTCAATTCCTGGCTCAGGATGATCCCCTGGAAGAGGAAATGGCAACCCACTCCAGTATTCTTGCCTGGAAATTTCCATGGACAGAAGAGCCTGGCAGGCTACAGTCCATGGGCTAATAAAGAATTGGCTATGACTGAGTTAGTGAGCATGCATTCATACAAGTGATAGATGGGACACAGACCCTGGCTTAGTGTAGTTGGCTGATGGCTAAATATTTCATGGGTGGTGATCTGGGAATACAACCTGTTGGAAAGTAATGCTATTGCAGATGAATGATTCTTTCATTTGAAAGAAAGAGAAGAGAAATTCCTACAAAGAATGCAGTTGTTTGCTTATTGTAAGTTGTATTGATGCCTTGAAATAAAAAGAAATTGAAAGCCATTAACTAACAAATGTTAAAGGTTAGGTGTAAGGACTTAAAAACTCTTTGGTAGTTTACAAAGAGTTCCTTGTCTCCTGAATAAGGAGACACAGACAAGCAAGATACTGAAGATCTAACAGAGCTACACAAGTATGCCTTTAGAATATCCTTCACCTTTGAAACTGTTAGTTACTCAGTAGTGTCTGACTCTTTGCAACCCCATGGACTGTAGCCCACCAGGCTCCTCTGCCCATGGAATTCTCTAGGCAAGAATACTGAAGTGTGTTGCCATTCCCTTCTCTAGGGGATCTTCCACAGTTACACAGATCCAAAAAAGTACAAACACTCTAGGCATGTGTATCATGATAAGGTCAGAGCACTGGTAGGGAAAAATTTAAAACCATGAAACATGGAGTGAGTACATCTGGATAAATGCCCCAGCAGACTTTGCTTCTACAGACTCCTCAACATCAGTAAGAGCCAGAGCTTTCTGCTCAAGGAGCTTCAGAGGCCTCGTTTCTGCAAGGAAATAGGTCATCTTTTAGGCCTGGACTAACTTCCTCTTCTGCATAATAACTAGAGTAGAAGCCCAGCATAACCCCTGGGATATGCTGGGCCTGATAAAAATGAAAGAGACTGTATACTAAAGTAATTGTGAGATTTTACTGTCATGTTCTGGCAGGAGCCATGAGACTATTATTGAAGGGAGTCGTGAAACTATTATTGAAGGGAGTATTCATGCATTGTTCTTTTCATTCCAAAGGGAATCTTTATGACAATTGTTTTTAATTCTCAGTCAGGTAAATCATGAAGTCTGTTTCATTACTGTCAGTTTCTGGAGATTTACCTTGCTTCTTTATTTAGAACGTCTTTGCCAGGTTCTCTGTTGATTCTCTGTGTTGGTCTCTAAATATTAGACCATGCATTCACCTCTGCCAGTCTTCACAGATTGGCCTTATACAAGTGGGGGTCCTCACCAATAAACCTGAACAGAGGTTCTGGAGACCTCTGCCAATGGTTTCCCTCCTCAGGAGGAAGCCTGCCTCTTGGCAGAGATTTTTGTTTTCTCACTCCGTGGACAGATCGTGGTGGGGTATGTGGTGGAGTTTTGGCATTCTAGAAGCACAATCTGCCATATCCATTGTACCCCAGCACCTGGACTCTGTCAGAACCATCACAGCTCCAAGCCTGGTGAGATAAGTACTAGCTCTTTGGGAAGCCTCTGTGAAGTTGGGATGCTAGATCCATAAATTAACTCTTTTCCTTTAGAGGTGGAAGCTGAGAGCTAGAATTTTTTGTCCACTCATTCTGTGCTCAGTTATGGGGGATCAGTGATATAACTGGCCCAGCTAACTGCCTCTGTCTTCCCCCAGACAGCCAGACTGTGACAGACCTGTCAGAGCTCCAAGACTAGCAAGACCTGAATCTCCTTGCCTGATTTGGTGAGTCTGGTTTTTCATTCTCCAGGGGTAAAAGAGACTTTCAATTGGTTTCAGAGTTCTCACAAAGAAAATCTGTCCTCAAATTGCTGTTAAATTGGTGTGTTTGTTGGAGAGCAATGGTCCAGGGATTCCTCCTCTCATGTTGCTCATGTCACTCTTAGCATCAAGTAGTGAGGTAAGCTGTGACATGAATGAGTCTTGAAAACATTGAAGAGAAGCCAGTCCAAAAAGACCACATCCTTGCTTCCCTCACACTCCCGGCTCTAGGCAACCATTAGTCTGCTTTTTGCTTCTAAGGGTTTGCCTATAAAGGACATTTCATACAAATGGACTCATGTAAGGTGTAGTTTTTAGTGACTCATTTCTTTAATTTAGACAAATGTTTTCAAGATTCATGCATAGTGTAGCATATGCCAGTACCTGATTCATTTTTATTGCCAAATAATATTCCATTGTATGGATATAGCATGTTTTATTTATCCATTCATTAGTTGATGAACATTTGCGTTTTAACATTTTTACTAGTATGATGAAAGCTGCTACAATAATTTTAGTATAACTTTTTGGGGTGTACTTGTGCCTTAATTTTTTTGAGGGTGTATTTGGAGCGAAATGACAGGGGCACGTGGTGATTCTATATTTAATATTTTTGAGGAACTGCCAAAATTCTCTCCAAAATGGTTACACCATTTTGTATTCCATCAGCAGTATATGAGGGTTCCAGTTATTCTACATCCTTGTCAACCCTTGTTATTTGTCACCTTTTGATTATAGCCATCTTAGAGAAATAATCATAATTTTATGAGACAATTTTAGGTATAGTATAAAACTGTTTCACTGGTAATCTTTTATGAGCATTCTGATCAGTAATATGTTATAGGTTATTTTGACATTTGTGAACTACTAAGCATGAATTTAGCTTGCCATACAGTTTAAAGAAACAGGCTACCAACATGCTGTAAAGAATCCGAGCATTGTGCTTGAACAGCATCACTCTGGATGAGCTTGAGGATGCACTGAATGGAGAAAAAAAAAAAATCTATATGCTTCTTTAGGATTAATTTCAAAACTATTGCCTAGAACAAGAAAAAATGTTTGGTCTCTTGAATTGGGGAAGAATATTTAAGATTAGCCATCAATAAGTTTGGGATTCTGAATGCAGCAAGAAATGCCCCCTTCCCCTCAACACTAACAAGCTTAATTTACTTATAATTGCAATAAAAATTGCAAGCTTATCAAAGACAATTGAACCATAGTTTAAGTACTTGGAAAGAACAAGTTACATGGTATATTACATAAAATAAAAAAAAATGTGCTTCTACTTTTATTTCCTTAGGTTTGAAAGTCAACTGTGCCTACAAATGGTATTTCTTAGAGTGTTTGGTTTCAAGGTTGCTCTGTGCAGTTCTATTGAAATTGCCCTTCTATTGTTTTTTCCCTTTGTAATCTTATGTTCAATCTAGCATTTTATATTTATGATGCTGTCAAATATAATTTTTTATTCTTATGTTTTCTCTGGTTCAAATTCTTTCAATCATTATTTATTTAGGGTGTCTCATTTAATGATAGTATAAATGACTGTCAGTTGTATAAATGATAATTATTTATAAATGACTATGAGTATAAATGATAGCATTATGACTGTCATTAACAACCCATATCAATTAAAGTAATCTCTAACAGTATTCACCATGTTTTTATATTTATTTCTTCACTAGCAAATATATATTGCCTGTATCATAAAGTATTTAATGATTTTTATATGTCTATTTTGCTGAGATCACTAATTATCATTATATAACAGCATTGTGTAAATTTAAAATATATTATCATTAATTTTTTCTGCATCAGTTATGATTCTAAAATAAGAAAGTAAAACCATGTATTACATATGTATTCAAATTATATTAGAACTATATTTGAAAGCTGGGTTACTTATACAGTTCTAAAATCTAAAAGTTTTGTGTGGAGCTAACATTTTGGAACCTTAATTTTTTCATGGCATCTTGCATTTTCTGATTTCTCAAGGTGTAAATAATAGGATTCAATAAGGGTGTGATAACAGTGTAAAATACAGCAAGGACTTTATTGCTGGCGAAACTCTTGAAAGGCCAGGCATAGATGAGGATACACGGCCCAAAGAACAGACTGACCACAGTGATGTGGGCAGACAGTGTGGACAGGGCTTTGGAGAGGCCCCCAGATGGTCTGCGTTGCACGGAGGCCAGGATGACAGTGTAAGAGACGAGCAGGAGGAGGAAACAAATCAGTGACCACAGTCCACTGTCAGCAATGACGAATAACTCCAGGGTGTACGTTTCCACACACGCAAGCTTAATCACAAGGGGAAGGTCACAAAATATATTATCTATGATGCGGGGGCCACAGAAAGGCAGGTTTACCGTTAATACCATCTGACTCATGGTGTGTATAAAACCGATTGTCCATGAAAGTATAACAAACCCGTTCAGCAACCTGTGGTTCATGATTTTCCTGTAGTGCAGGGGTTTACATACGGCCACATATCTGTCAAAAGCCATGGCTATCAGAAGAGTCATCTCAGCACCTCCAAACAAGTGCATAAAGAACATCTGAGCTATGCATCCCCATATAGAGATGGTCTTGTGTTCAGTGAGCAAGTCTCTGATCATCTTGGGTGTGGTGACCGTGGAGAGACACATGTCCAAAAAGGAGAGGTTTCCGAGGAGGAAGTACATGGGAGAATGAAGGGTGGAACTGCAAGTCACTGTGACCATAATGAGAGTGTTTCCCAGCACAGTAGCCCCATAGATCAAGGAGAATGTCACAAAGAAGACAATCTGAAGTTCCCATCCTGCAGAAAATCCTTGTAAAATGAACTCAGTCACTACAGATCCATTTTTCAGATCCATTTACTCAACTCAGAAAGATTCCAGATGTTCTTTATATACAAAGAGAATTTTTTTTAAAAGCCACAATTAGCACTGACATGGGGTGCAAAGAGTCAAACACAATTTATCAAATGAACTTCAACAAAAACACTAATATTTTTTATTTCTATTTGATTAATAACAATTGGTGATATGAGAATAGATAGTCTTAAATCTCAGATCTTTTGGAGCTGTTTTCTCAAATCCTTTTATCATCATTGTTCACAATGAAGAGTTTGTGTGTTGTGTGCAAATGGTATGTCGTGGTTTAGAGTAAATAGTGAAATGATTCAATCCTAATGTATAGATATTGCTTTGGTTGTAATATATCACACTAAATTTTCTTTGCTGAGCTTCTTAGATGTCATTCTTAGGATGTAGAGTGATCAAAATTAATTATAATTATGTGATCACTACATGATATGCTGTGCTGTATTTAACATATGTTAAGCTTTACTGTTATGAGCATAACAACCCCATTATTATAATTATTCTAATTTTGTATTAAAGAAAACTTGGCATAGATGTTTTAAATGACTTACTCACACCAGCATCTAGGATTGTAGCAAAACACCATATTCCCTCCAAACATAAAGGAATGAATATTTATGGTCAAGTTATTAAATATTGATTGAATTAATATGTTCCATTTACATGAACATAACAGATATGATTCAACAAGTATTTGGAATCCCTCTATGTAATTAACTGCACTTTTTTTCTTATGCAAAAGGAATCAGAACCTGGTATCTCAGGAGTTTACCATCTAGAGATTAATTATCAATCAAAATTAGCAATGAGACACATAAGAAAATATTTAATTTAGCACATGATTTGTGAAAAATGTTGTAAGATTTTTTAAAATTGGCAACCAATTCCAAGTGTCGCTTTTAAAACACAGCTTCAAGCTTGTTTGTTTTTGTCTTCAAACCATTTTAAAAAGTAAAAAGAAAAGTACTCATGGTCAGTAAATAAAAGGACAAGTCTTAAAGACTGAAGATTTATAAGAAGAAAAGAATTGATAACAGTGAGTAGAAAGAGTGGTGTATTTGGAAAAGTGACTGAATTAAGTTTTAAAGATTCTTAGGAAATGTTTGTTTTCTTTTCTCCAATGACCTGTAAATCTCTCCTTGTTTTCAGCTCTGCTTGGTCTCTTGTCAAAATAACTTATCACCCATTATCCAACCTTAATTATCTTAGTTGTTATCTTACCTCCAATATTTTTAAGAAATAGTCAGTGTCTACAAAGTAGGGGAAATAAAAGTGAAAAATGATGTAGTTCCTGTAGGTCAACCTCTAGGAGTTGCTAAATGGTGAACTGTGGACTTGGAGGGGCATGCAGAGGACAGTCTCCACACCATGCCTTCTATAACAGTTGTGTTACATGACTATCATGAGAGTGACCGGAAATATTGCTATTGAGACTTTTGTGACAGAAATTGAAATAACTGCATGCACTTTGGGGAAGTGACATGGCTTGATAACTGTTAGAAAGAATGAAAATACCAGCTATCATTTGGGAACCAATACCTTGAATTTTATTTCCCACAATAAAGTAAAAACAGAAAAACTTGCAAATGAAATTAATTTAGTTAAACATAATTGATTAAGAAAGATTTATTTTGGCCTTTTATTTCAGAGGGAAAGCTGGAATTTACTGTGTTGATGACTTTCCCAGCATTTCTGTCTCTTATTCCTCTCTTTCATTTCTAAGCAAGATTTCTCAAAATATTTATTTGGTTCTGCACTTAGCATACCTGCTTCTATATTATGGAGGTAAAAAGACTATACAAGTGAAAAGAAATAAATTATCATATAGTTTAGACAAAAATCCTATCAATGAAGAAAATTGTCTTCCTCTTAAATAATTGCACATTTTGTTTTAGTTACCTTTACTCAATTAATGATGCACTTTGCAGGAATTTGAAGACAAAATCACAGTATAATAGAGTTAGGATGGAACTTTGTAATCATTTGTTCTCTTTAGTAAGTGAAAAATCAAGACCCCCATAATTACTTAAATTTCCCCAAGTCTTAGAGGTAGGACCACCCTGAGAAAATGTAGTGATTATTAGGTGAGATGGTGGATGTATAAGCTCATGGCTGGACACAGAATGGGCACAGAGAGGGCATGTGTTGAATCTGAGTCACTATATAAATCTTTTATAATCCTGAGATTTTCCATATAAATCTCTATTAGGAAAGGAAGGAGTCAAGACTTGTTTTAGTAAATTGTTGAAAATAAATATTTCTACTCTTGCTCATGTGTATATAAGACATAAATTACTTAATATAACAAAGAAAAAGGGGGTAGCAGAGGATGAGATGGTTAGATTGCACCACCAAATCAATGGACATGAATCTCAGCAAATTTCAGGAGATAGTGAAGGACAGGGGAGCCCTGTGTGCTGAAGTCCATAAGGTCACAAAGAGTCAGACACAACTAGCAGCTGAACAACAAACACTACAAGCATAACTAACTCAAATAAATATTTTCTCCCATTTTCATTATACATATTTAAATAAACTAAGCATAATTTCTATCTTGACTAATTTCACCTTTTTCTAAAACTATACATATTTTTGTTAAAATACAGATGAAACTGAAAAAAATGCTTAATAAAATAAGCTGGACACAAAAGACTATATGCTTTGTAACTTCACTTATATTAAATGTCTAGAAAAAGCAAATCTTTGGAAAAAGAACGCATATTAGTAGCCCTTCAGCTGGGAATCGATTGGAGATGGGCATGAGTTTTCTTTTTGCAGTGGTGAAAATGATTTAAAATAAGATTGTGTAAAATAAGATTGTGGTGATCCTTGCACAGCTATGTGAATATAATAATAATCATTAAAATGTGTATTAAATGGGTTATTTTATATTAGGTGATTATGTTCAATAAAACTGTTACGCATTTTTTGCTTTTATTATTAAATTAGAATTATCTTTAATATTTTAATTTAGTGTTTTTAAATAGGGTTTTCTAATACTGTCCAGCTGCTTGTCCTCAAATTTATTTCACCAGAAGACAATTATTGTCACACTGCAATCCAATGCAATCTAGCTTTGAACTTTTATTAAAGTCTCCTATTTGAATTTATGGTTTTGAATGACATCTATTTGGAAGCTTACTTTTCTCTGTTTTGTTAAATAGATTTTTTAATATTATTACTATTTTGAATACTCATAATGAGATTCCTGAATATGAACATCCTGTAAGGGCTTCTTTGTCTTTACTCTTTAAAATGCCCTATGTATATATGGTATAACCATAAGTTTCAAACAGCGATTTTCTAAATATCTAGTTCTAAATACCTAAATATCTAGTTCATTAATTCTCCCTTGCCAGCTTCTTTTCCAACTGTAATTATGATATTCTTATCTATATGTACTGGGTATACCTGAAATTTATTAAAAGAAATCTGCAAAAAAATATAATGCAAAAAATAATATGAGTTTCTAGCTTTTCCACTGTTTTCAATGATAGTATGAATTATCTGGATGCTCAGGAATTTATGTTTCTTAATTTTATTCATCATTCTTAATCACTTACCATATACCACCAAATTTATTTGCAATATCATTTTGAGAGCATATACCTTTTAAATGTTCATGGAAATTGTTGATTATAATCCATTGTAAAATAAGTATGAAATTCCATGTCTTGAAAACCATAGTATTTTCCTTCCAATCAACACACAATTAATTAAAATACCATCTTCAGTATACTGAATTTGTAATGAATTAATCCTCTATCATGTTTTCACTTACTTGCTGTAAAGGCCCATTATGAGAAACAATGTGTTCAAGACGTTATTTAAAATTAGAAATCTAATTTTCACTCTCTCTCATGCCCTTCATGTGGTTCTGGATACTGTTTTCTGCATCTTTTATGAAGACGTGAACCACTTTGGAGGCAAATTTTTTGGAGCCCTGGGAATCCAAATTTCACTGGGAGTAGTTAAAACATTGGGGCTGCTGTGATAGCATGACCAGGAGAGATGTTCACTCTTAATTTCTGGTCCTGTAATATGCTTTGCTTTCCTTGAACATTGGAATGATTAAAATAGTCATGAGAGTATTGTTTTTTTGTGATATTATAAGTGCAGACGGCTTTGATTTAATGGATACTTCCTTTTCCTCACATTATTCCCAAGCTACAGTCTTACCTTCCTTCTAACACTTTTGTGGTATTATTTCAGATGAATAATCTCTAAACTTTTCTGACCATTACATCTTTAATGGAAAAACTGGTCTATACATGTTACACCCTTACTCCTAAAAGTGCACATTAAGTGCACATTAATATATTTAGGAAATAGAAAATTGTAAAGATATACTGAGAATAATTCACATTAAATTACTTCAAACTTCATATACATTAATGTTATAACTAACTGTTTTATAGTCATTAAAATACTAATATTTTTAAAAATTTATTTACCTTGCTATGAGAGTTTCAGAGAATATTTATATGGCAAAATATATTTTCATTGTCATTGCCCTTTTTACTATAAAATCTTACAGTAAATTCTTCTTTTATAAGAGTTTATATTTTTTACACAGTTCATCATATTGATCATCCTTATGTACTTTGCACAGCAGGCTTCAAAGTCTGTTTCAATAACTTGACAACAATGTCATGAGTAACTTTCAAATTGGTTGACATATCTGTATCTTATCTGCAAGTTCTTACTTAATGCCAGTCAAATTCACTATTCAACCAAGGGCTTAATGTAGATTTTTGTCATAGATCAGCTTTTATGAGTCAATATTATTGATAAGAATTTCTTTGTACAAGTGTTAAAATCTTTCAACTCTTATATAAGGCAAAACTCCTCCCAAGACATAATTTATTCTATCACTTAACTTGCAGATAATTAGAAATAGTTTCTGTGTGCTTTTCAATAGCATTTGCTGATAAGGAATATATTTTATTTATTGTCATACTGCTCATCCTAGGCATTTTTATAGAATGGCA